TCTGGCCACACAGAATGATCTGTAAGTCAACAGCACATGGAAAACCGGAACAAACCTATGAGAATTAAACACTCAAAAGCTGTATAGCACAAAAGAGAAAACATTTTGACATAACTGAAAAGATTACAACTCATGAGTCAGGAATTTGAAGATGTGAAGACATCAGTACAATCCAGGACAAGCTCCTAGAGTTGCAGACTTGAAAAGGATCATCCTGTGTGTGCTGGGAAATGGGGCTTTAGGGTCACTCACTGTCCAAGTGAAAGTTGTACAACAGTCAATATCCTAAATGTCAATGAATTGTACACTTCAAAATGTTAATAATTCAATGTCATATATAATTTTACATTTAAAAAAAGGTGCAAGCCTTTAATCCCAGCATTGGGAGGCAAGAGGCAAGTGAATCTCTGTGAGCTCAAGGCCAGTCAAAACTACATAAGCCTCCAAATGAGAAAAATAAAATTAAAAAAAAAAAAAATCAAGGAACTATAATGGCACATACCTATAATCCCTGCACTCAGGAGCTGAGGCAAGATAATCACAAGTGAGTCTGAGGCCTGTCTGGGCTACAAAGTGATACTCTATCTCAAAACCAACCAACCAACCAAACATCCCAAGACAATCTGAATAGCTGATAACATACCAACATGGTCACACATGTATTACAATAATTTAACACACCAGCAAAAGGGGAAACTGAGTATTGTTCATGGGAAGACGGCACTATGGTCTCTAATCTAAAACAGCATGATTTTCTTTAAAAATTCCTTTTCTTTTCCAGGTAAGTTGTCACACACATAGGTTACATGATAAAATCAACTATGCTACAAGTATCATGCACAGCTGCACCCAATATGAAGACATCATTACTGCCTTCCATGTAAAAACCTACAGGTTTCCAAAGCTTAAATCTTAGCCTCAAACCTAGAATGATAATTTGGCTCTAACCAAATTTCCTTCAGTCAATTTCCACTTTAAAAGAGCTCACACAGGCATGATGCACACACCTTTAATTCCAGTACTGTAGATCTGTGAGTTCAAGACCAGCCTGGTCTACAGAGCTAGTTCACACAGAAGACCTGTCTCAAAAAAGTCCCAAAAAAAAAAAAAAAAAAAAAAGAAAGAAAGAAAGAAAGAAAATAATTAAATAACCCACTACTAGAGAAAAATAAAACAACACAACCAGTTGTAAGGGGGCACATAAATACAACAGACTTGTCACGTACAGGTAATAGTTCAATAAATGTATTATTTTAATTAAGGAAATAAGAGAGGAAATAATCATCTAATAGAGGTCAGTCAATGTCAGGTGTCCTCTGAGATAGGGTCCCTCACTGAACCTGAAACTCCCCATTTCTACTCGGCTGCTGGGCAAGAAGATCTGGGATCTGTCTGTCTTTCTACACCCATCACTGTGGTTACAGATATGTTCCACCTAGCTTTTCTGTGGGTGCTAGGGATCTGAACAGGGCCCTGATACTTATGCAGCAAGCATTTTTGCACCCTGAGTCATCTCTCCAACCCCAACTATATATATTAAAATAACCGGTATTACTTGAATAGGCCATTTTAATTTTAGTCTTAAGAAAAACCACATTTCTAGGCCAGTTTATCAGCAGCCAACTGTGTCTGCAGTCTGAAGGACAAATCTTGTCAAGACTATTGGTGACTCAAAGAAAAAGCAATGCCAAAATGAAATTCTGAATGATTATATCACTAAAAAGTTTTGCATACAGAATTTCCCACCTTCTAAGAGGTAGAAAAGTAATTCTCAAAGTGTTTATGGTCCTATGAAGACAGAAGACCTAAAAAGGCCTTGAATGTTTTAGACATCGTATTGTGTATTATGACACTATAAGCCACAGGATCAAACCTGTAAGCAGCACTCCTCAGGGCCTCTGCATCAGCTCTAGCCCCCAAATTCCTGGCCTGCCTTCCCTTAGTGATGGAGTATGACCTCAGAGTTGTTCCTTCCAAGTTGCTTTTGATCATGGTGTTTTAATCACAGCAATAGAAACCTATGTGAGACAAGGCATAATAACCAAAAAGAAAAGAAAAGCAGATCTTGAGAGATGTGTTTGTACCCTGATGAGGGCAAGTAATCAATCACATATATCCCTTCTCACATTCGGGTCTGGATCCAAACTCCTATGGTGCTCAGATCTGCTTCCTGACTCTACTCCCCACCTGGATCTGTCTGCACAACTTCCCAAATCTCCACTGCAATTCATCTGATATAGATAAGCTATAAATAAGTTATGCATGCTTACTTATATCAGCTTAATATTTTTTTAAAAAAATCCCTAAAAGTTCATTTATATGAGACACAGGAAGAATATGGTATAGAAAGTGAAAACAAGAGTTCTGGCTGGGTACCAGAAGTTCTGCTACCTATCATATGACCTTAATCTTGGGGACTCTTTTTCTCATTCCTCAGCAGGTAAACAAGATTAGATGAATTTAAAAAAAAAAAAAATTCACAGTGCTCAACAGAGGGCCTAGTAGTTTACTCCTAACATTACAAAGTGCCTACTACATGCCAAGTAATAAATGGTAGCCATATGCTAACAGAATAGCTTTTTACATAAGGATGATAAAAAAAAGTACACAATCAATTATGTGCAAGACTATGCACTCAAGATGTTTGGATATTCAAAGTGAATACATACAGGACAGGCAGAGGCAGGTTGTAAGGAGTGAATGGGTTCAAAGAAGCAGACCCCTTGGTCCCACAGCATCCATCATGAATGCAGTCTGAACAGGGAGCCCAGGGACACCAACTAGGGTACACTACCTGTACTTTCCCCTCACAAAATGCAATCACAGAAGATAATGTTAATAGATAACTATACACCAATAGTGGTAAGTGATCTTGTCATGAGGGACCAAACCAAGCTGGCAGATGACAGATATTCTTTATCCACTCAGGGAGACAGTGTAGGGTAGGGACAAACAAAAGAGCAACAGAAAGCTGACACAGGGTGTGGACAACTCAGATGTTAACACCTCCCCTGGGAGTCATAGCAACAGCAGAAAATAAACAGAGCTCTCTCTCATAGCTGTGAGTGCCTCGGAGGGGGTGGCAGAAAGTTGTGGCAGAAGCTCGACTGGCCCTGGCTGCAGACTCATCTCCCACATTCCTGGGAAGTGAGCAGACTCAGGCAAGCATCATCACTCCCTCAAAGCCTGGGAACAGAGACCACCAGCATAAGGGACTGGACTCCCTCTTTATTTTTCTTAAAGATTAGTTATTATGCATACACTGTTCTGGCATTGTTGTGAGCCACCATGTGGTTGCTGGGAATTGAACTCGGGACCTCAGGAAGAACCGGCAGCGCTCCTAACCCCCGAGCCATCTCTCCAGCCCACTGCTCTTTAACAATAATGCCACTAGTATTATTTCCTTCGACAAAACAATTTCAACATTCTATGGAAGGGCTATAATGTGACCACACTTGTTTCAATTTATAAACAAAGTATCCCTTTATCCACTGGGCTACCTGCTCGCTGCATCTGTAGCAAATTATGTTACTGAGGCACCCAACCAACAGGACTTAGATATTAATCCTGTATTAGCAACATTTATCCCACACACAAATCTACGGCACCCTGACAGAGCGCTGATGACTGTAAAGTATTAAAGTCGAGCCCCCACAGACACAGTAGCGGGTCCACCCTGGCAGTCACCCTGTACCAACACACAAGCAAGGTCCCCGGCCACAGAATCTTCACCAGCTGCCCCGCTAGCCAGCTATGCGATCTTTACGAAGATCGCTTTAACAAACTCCCTAAGCCTCAGCTGCTCCGGATGTATTGGGGGCATGGTGGTGCTAGCCCTGAACCTCAGCACTCGGAGGGTAAAGGAGAGCGGAACTCTGAGACATCGAGGCCAGCCGGGGCTATCCAGTGATACCTGGTCCCCGAACCCCATGTAGGCTGGGAGTCAGATGCTCACATCCTTTCTTCCCAGATCGCAGAGGCCCAATGCTGCGAGACGGGAAACAACAGTGAGGGGGACATCTGGACCACGGACACTGCCAGCCTCCCCCTCATCACCCCCGCTGCACCTGCTGCCCTCCA